GCCGCTTTCAAGGAACGGGACTCTAACCCGGACGCTTATAAGAAATCCCGCTATGCCCTCCGACGAAACATCAAACAGGCAAAGAGTCAATACAGGACTAAGACTGAATCGTATTACACTGGCTCTGACGCTCGTCGGATGTGGCAGGGCTTGAAAACTATTACAGACTACAAAGGGAAGCACAGCCGCGAGCTGCCCAGTGACACAAGCCTACCAGACGAGCTAAACAACTTCTATGCTCGCTTCGAGGCAAGCAACACATGAGCATGCATGAGAGCACCAGCTGTTCTGGATGACTATGTGATCATGCTCTCCGTAGCCGATGTGAGTAAGACTTTTAAGCAGGTCAACATTCACAAGGCCGCAGGGCCAGACGGATTACCAGGACGTGTACTCCGAGCATGTGCTGACCAACTGGCAAGTGTCTTCACTGACATTTTCAACATGTCCCTGACTGAGTCTGTAATACCAACATGTTTCAAGCAGACCACCATAGTCCCCGTGCCCAAGGACTCTAAGATAACCTGCCTAAATGACTACCGACCCGTAGCACTGACGTCTGTAGCCATGAAGTGCTTTGAAAGGCTGGTCATGGCTCACATCAACAGCATTATCCCAGAAACCCTAGACCCACTCCAATTTGCATACCGCCCCAACAGATCCACAGATGAGGCAATCTCTATTGCACTCCACACTGCCCTTTCCCACCTGGACAAGAGGAACACCTACGTGAGAATGCTATTCATTGACTACAGCTCAGCATTCAACACCATAGTGCCCTCTAAGCTCATCACTAAGCTAAGGATCCTGGGACTAAACACCTCCCTCTGCAACTGGATCCTGGACTTCCTGACGGGCCGCCCCCAGGTGGTAAGGGTAGGTAACAACACATCTGCCACACTGATCCTCAACACGGGGGCCCCTCAGTGGTGCGTGCTCAGTCCCCTCCTGTACTCTCTGTTCACCCATGACTGCATGGCCAGGCACGACTCCAACACCATCATTAAGTTTGCCGACGACACAACAGTGGTAGGCCTGATCACCGACAACGATGAGAAAGCCTATAGGGAGGAGGTCAGAGACCTGGCCGTGTTGTGCCAGGACAACAACCTCTCCCTCAACGTGACCAAGACAAAGGAGATGATTGTGGACTACAGGAAAAAAAAGAGGACTGAGCACGCCCCCATTCTCATCGACGGGGCTGTAGTGGAACAGGTTGAGAGCTTCAAGTTCCTTGGTGTCCACATCACCAACGAACTATCATGGTCCAAACACACCAAGACAGTCGTGAAGAGGGCACGACAAAGCCTATTCCCCCTCAGGAGACTGAAAAGATTTGGCATGGGTCCTCAGATCCTCAAAAAATTCTACAGCTGCACCATCGAGAGCATCCTGACTGGTTGCATCACCACCTGGTATGGCAACTGCTTGGCCTCCGACCGCAAGGCACTACAGAGGGTAGTGCGTACGGCCCAGTACATCACTGGGGCCAAGCTTCCTGCCATTCAGGACCTCTATACCAGGCGGTGTCAGAGGAAGGCCCTCAAAATTGTCAAAGACTCCAGCCACCCTAGTCATAGACTGTTCTCTCTGCTACCGCACGGCAAGCGGTACCGGAGTGCCAAGTCTAGGTCCAAAATACTTCTCAACAGCTTCTACCCCCAAGCCATAAGACTCCTGAACAGCTAATCATGGCTACCCGGACTATTTGCACTGCCCCCCCACCCCATCCTTTTTACGCTGCTGCTACTCTGTTAATTATTTATGCATAGTCACTTTAACTCTACCCACATGTACATATTACTTCAACTACCTGAACTAGCCGGTGCCCCCGCACATTGACTCTGCACCAGTACCCTCCTGTATATATAGCCTCCCTACTGTTATTTTATTTTACTTCTGCTCTTTTTTTCTCAACACTTTCTTTGTTGTTGTTTTATTTTTTACTTTTTTTGTTAAAAATAAATGCACTGTTGGTTAAGGGCTGTAAGTAAGCATTTCACTGTGATGTCTGCACCTGTTGTATTCGGCGAATGTGACCAATACAATTTGATTTGATTTGATTTGACTTGGGCAGGAGCTCAACAGAGCTGAGTACCGGCACCTCACATTTTATACTGCTTGAGCTCCTGTTTCTCTTACAGAATATTAGCTCAAAAGTATTGTGGCGCTCCTGCAACTAAATATAAATGTACCAGCACCAAAATGAGAACCAGCACCTATTGCAGTCCAAGTCCTGATAATGGGCAAATGTTGCACAATTCAGCTGTGGAAAACTCTTACAGACCTACCCAGAAAGACACACAGCTGTAATCGCTGCCAAATATGATTCTACAAAGTATTGATTCAGGGTTGTGAATACTTATGTCAATAAGATGTTTCTGAATTTCATTTTCAAGAAATGTGCTAAAATTTCTAAAAACATGTTTTCACTTTGTCATTATGGGGTATTGTGCGTATATGGGTGAAACATTTATATATTTTTTTTTAATCAATTTTGAATTCAGGCTGTAACCCAACAAAATGTGGAATAAGTCCTACTCTAAATCACTTTATAGTGAGGAAACTAGAGACAACCACTGTTCGCTATTTGTTCAGCAGATAAGAGAGGAATATTAATTACTATGACACTCTCCACACAATAAAGGTGCCTTTGTAAAAATGTAATTGATCAATGAGAGTTGTTCATTGCAACATATTATACAGTATGTGTGACTCACTTTAAGGGGTGTTAACATATGGATTGTCAATTAGGTTAACATTAAAACCCACAACTGTGAGTCATTCAGTCACTATCAACACATACATGCCATATCTGATTGTAAAAACCTGAACAATCTACTTTATGTGGTTTAATGTGTCTAGAAGGACTGGCTGACACGTGCAGTCTGTCTGTGTAAGATTTATCGCTGCTCATTGGTCATATTAAAATACGTCTCTTGATTTTGGGAGAATCTCTCATGGAATATCCTTGGACTATATTATGTTAGCTCACTTGAGAGTTGAAATAAATGTTGTTTAAAATCTAATACAGTTCTGGGCATTATAAAGTTCCTTTTTACACATGCAAAACGCTTGCTGCAGCAAGTTAAATCGTTAACGGTGACAAACTGTCTCACAGGATTACGCCAAGCACCAAGTTAATTAGCAATCATCTAACATTTTAGATATTGTACTAGTTCCACAAAAAAAAAATGGAGGCAACAATTTGCATTAGCTTTTTGAGTATTTCCAACATAATGTATTTTTACATATAATATACTTAACTTTTACTGTTTCACAAACACTACTATATTAAGTCCAGCATAATAATGGCTAAGATTCAACTTAGTTCATCAAATCCAGAACTATTATAGTACATTAGATCTACTTCATCTTTCTGATAAGTTACTTTCATTGATCACATGTTACTGTCAAACATGGTTTTACGTATTTCATCACTTGACATTTTTATCCACTGTAGCAGGAATTGCTGAGCACAGTGCTCATCACGAGCCATTAACTGGAAGTCAAGCTGCAAACATTATAGCTTGATGTAGTTTCTCTGTCAAGTGTGGCATGTATAATCTTACTAAGGGTGAGAATGGGTGGTCTCATCATTGAACATCAATTTGTCTAACGGTTTTGATATCCATTCATCATGATCCATTACACCTCACATAATAACAAAGTGTTTGATACAAATATACACATGTGCTTTTCATTCTTCAAACATGATTACAACATTGTGTAAAAGTATCGTAAAGTTAAAAATAAATCAATTACCCACAATCCTCTGAAAACAGAGCCACATAGCAAGTTGTTGGAAGAACTTACAATTCTTAAGTTGAAAGGAAATATTATGAAAACTGAGTGAGTTAAACACAATTTTCCTTGTAGTTGTTTTTACACACAAATAGTTGTTTAGATTATGCATTTATCTTATGTTGAATTCATATAATTTTTGGGAGGGTTGGTTGAACAAGTGAAGTAGAGTAAAGTGCTAATTATATTCAAGTAAAGATGACAACTATGTTTTTTATAATTTTATAATTAAGTATAATTAATGTTATTTTTTATTTTTTTACAGTGCAATAGCCCATTCCCAGAGCTGTATGTTTTTGTACAATTCAATACTGTTGGTGTGTTTGACGATGCGTAGAATGTAGAGTTGGGTAGGTTACTTTCTATATGTAATCCGTTACAGTTACTAGTTACCTGTCCAAAATTGTAATCAGAAATTTAACATTTGGGTTACCCAAACTCAGTAACGTGATCTGATTACTTTTGGATTACTTTCCCCATCAGAGGGATTAGAAGAAGACAAAAAGGATCCATCAAACGCACTTGGTGTGTCATCATAGTGGTCTCTGACTTGTGGTCAGACTCGCTCAGGTGAAACAAACATAACTTGCACCTTTTTTCAATGCTGAATTGAATGGTGTCCAAGGTGTCATAATTAGTTTAGCCAACATCCTGTCTAAATTTGAGAGTAATCCAAGAAGTACTCTGTAATCGAATTACAATATGTTTGCTGGTAATGTAACTGATTACAGTTTCAGTTTTTTTGTAATCAGATTACATCTAACTGATTACATGTAATCAGATACTCCCCAACCCTGATATAATGCATTCTGCACTGGTCAACTGCATTGAGACTTTAACATAAATAAATGATCATAAGAATAGCCAGAATAGCATGATGATAGCACAGTATGCTGAAAACAAGGAAAAGCAGCTCCAAATCCATCTAAAGCTTCACTGAGACTGGCAATCCCTGTTATGTATGTTTTGTATTCTCTCATATTCAATCTGTGTGCTGTAAATGTGTAACAAGACCCTATTATTTTCCTCCAGCATTCCTCTATTCTGCGTTTATCCCCAATGCATGCTAGCCAATCATGACGCCCCTCGGACCCTCCCCTTTCCAGATAAAAAGAGGGCCAGGGAACAGTGAGCTCCATCTACAGCGAGTCTCTCAGTCTCTACACACCACCTCCTGTAGCACTTGCTAAGTCGTCATGTCCAGCAGAGCTGTGAAGAACACCAGCTACTCTGTGAGGTCCTCCTCTGCAGTCATGGGCTGCCCTCAGAACTTCAGCAGCAGCTCCTACTCCGGCGGCTATGGCGGCAGCGGCAGACAGAGCTACAGCGTCCGCAGCTCCTACGGTGGCGTTGGTAGCAGCGGCGGGGGCGTTGCAGCAGGTGGTTATAGGGTAGTTGTGGCTGGGGGGTCCGGGCAAAGAAGAGGTGTGATGGAGTTTGGGTATGCGGGCATGGGTGTTGGCGGTGGTATGGGGATGGGGGGTGGGAAGATGACCTGTACGGGACCCCCTCAAATCACAGCTGTTCAGGTGAACAAGAGCCTGCTGGCCCCCCTGAACCTGGAGATTGACCCCAACATCCAGGTGGTCCGCACCCATGAGAAGGAGCAGATCAAGACACTGAACAACCGCTTTGCCTCCTTCATCGATAAGGTCAGTTCCTCATGTGTTCCTATCACAACAGGGTCAAATGCATAGTGCATGCCAAATACTTTCATACACATGAGGTGAGCTTGATTTAGCTCATCTGGTACAATGGGGCCAATGGAGTGGTCCCAAAAGTGCAATGTCCACCCACTCTGCACCGTGGTCAAGCTAAATCAAACACACCTCAGGTATATTATAGCATTGGACAGTAAAATACCTGACACAGGTCTGGTTTGTATTAACTTGGTATTTGAAGGGAAAGATTATCTTGTGAGTTCGGTAATCTGTTTTGGAATTTCTATGTTACCTATAAGCATTGCCTTACCTTCATCGAATAATCTCCCTGCTTTAGTCAATCATAACTGAATGTACATTATGTACAAAACTATGGACATAAATTAAACTGTAAATATGTGACTAATTGCATACTATTGCATACTAAGCATATAAGACAAACTTGGTTATTAACAGATTAAAATTGGCATCACCAAACTCCCTCATTGATCACTACCCTCTTACTAAAAGAGAGAGAGTGGAAAGGGTGTAGATAGAGATACGGCCAGAGACAGACCACAAGACGAGGTTGGTTGTATGAATACAGGGTTTGCTGTTCGGAAACCCCTTCTAGACATTAGTAACTGACTCTTAAATCCACAAAACAATCTTTCTTGTCAGTAGAATTTGTAGGCAACTAGGGATTTGTTGTTGGGCAGGGATCCATCTTGTCACAGGATCCTCTCTTGCTCAATGTGCCATTGTCCCATAGGCCTACACACTCAAACAGGAAATGGCAGATTCACTGTCAGATATATCAGCCCATTCATGCACAGGGCTTATCAACTGTCAATTATCTCTACAATGATTACATGCTTCAACCATCCCTTATTGTTTTACCTACCTTAATGGGGCCCCTTATTTCTAAAGAACCAAATAACTCAAGGATCAATGTACAGCTTAAGCCATAAATCGGTTATGTTTACCGCCAGGTTAACCTTATCTATGTGTGGCATTCTACCCCTCTCCACACCTTAGCGATGCACACATCTGCTCTCTCTCCTCCTTGCTTGTTGTGTTTGAGTGGAACCCCACCCAGGGGCAGGGGGACAAAAGACAAAACTTGAACAACATGAATCATGTGTGTAACTTTGTTTCAGAAACAGTACCACATTGTGCTGAAACACGGACACACATTGACACACATTTGTTTGTTGGACATTCTTTAGCCTATACATCCATTCACACTTTTGCTATATCCATTCATGCGCATTCATTCATTCATTTGTTTGTTCATACCTTCCTTCCTATCCTCCCTCCCTCCCTCCCTACCTCTCTCCCTCCCTCCCTCCCTCCCTCCCTCCCTCCCTCCCTCCCTCCCTTCCTCCCTTCCTTCCTTCCTTCCTTCCTTCCTTCCTTCCTTCCTTCCTTCCTTCCTTCCTTCCTTCCTTCCTTCCTTCCTTCCTTCCTTCCTTCCTTCCTTCCTTCCTTCCTTCCTTCCTTCCTTCCTTCCTTCCTTCCTTCCTTCCTTCCTTCCTTCCTTCCTTCCTTCATCCATTCATTCACAAGTTTCAATCAATGACACGGATCATTTCCCTTTTGTCCCTGCAGGTGCGTTTCCTGGAGCAGCAGAACAAGATGCTGGAGACCAAGTGGAGCCTCCTGCAGGACCAGACTACCACCCGCTCCAACATCGACGCCATGTTCGAGGCCTACATCTCCAACCTGCGCAGACAGCTGGACGGCCTGGGCAACGAGAAGATGAGGTTGGAGTTGGACCTGCACAACATGAAGGGTCTGGTGGAGAACTTCAAGACCAAGTGAGTACTTTCTTCATATTATAACGTCTTGACAAGAAGGGTTCATTGGGCCTGAAAAGGTCATTAGCATTAGCATGCTATTTTGGAAAAGTTGCACTACTGTACAAATCTGGGTCTCAAATCCAGTATTATGATTTCAAGACGCTTTTCTTTTTGATTAAATACACATTTTAATCCTAAACATGATTTCATTTTAAGCTTGTCAGAAATGTTTCTTGTTTGATTTAAAGGCTTGCTCTATTCTCCTCTCTCAGGTATGAGGAGGAGATCAACAAGCGTAACGAGTCTGAAAACAACTTTGTTCTCCTGAAGAAGGTCAGTAGACTAAATAATTCTAGAAGCCTCCCTACATGCATAACTTACAGTGCATTGTTACTTTACCTCAACATCAACAAATTGGCTGAAGTAGAAAAGTACATTTACATTTTAGTAGTCTAAAAATTTAGTAGTCTAAAAATTGTTTACAACAATTATAGCTTCTGAGGTGGAAGTTGGGAGAGTTATATTTGGGTGTTTCAGTGAAACGTAAGTGAGGGAGGCCACGCTCTCTCGCTTTCCCAGATGTTTAGTTCATTTCATTCCGATCTCCTTTGCATTGTTGTAGCCATTTTCTGTAGCCTGTCAACTATGCCTCTGTCTATCCCTGTTCTCTCCTCTCCGCACAGGCTAAACAAACACCTCACACCGCGTGGCTGCTGCCTCTCTAACCTGGTGGTCCCTGCACGCACGACCCACGTGGAGTTCCAGGTCTCCGGCAGCCTCTGGAACTGCCGTTCTGCGGCCAACAAGGCAGAGTTCATCTCAGCCTATGCTACCCTCCAGTCCCTGACGGAAACATGGATTACCACTGAAAACACTGCTACTCCTACTGCTCTCTCCTCGTCTGACCATGTGTTCTCGCATACCCCGAGAGCATCTGGTCAGCGGGGTGGTGGCACAGGAATCCTCATCTCTCCCAAGTGCACATTCTCTCTTTTTCCCCTGACCCATCTGTCTATCTCCTCATTTGAATTCCATGCTGTCACTAGCCCATTCAAGCTTAACATCCTTGTAATTTATCGCCCTCCAGGTTCCCTTGGAGAGTTCATCAATGAGCTTGACAAGTTCCTTTCCTGAGGATGGCTCACCCCTCACAGTTCTGGGTGACTTCAACCTCTCTACGTCTACCTTTGTCTCATTTCTCTCTGCCTCCTTCTTTCCACTCCTCTCCTCTTTTGACCTCACCCTCTCACCGTCGCCCCCTACTCACAAGGCAGGCAATACGCTTGACCTCATCTTTACTAGATGCTGTTCTGCTACTAATCTCACTGCAACTCCCCTCCAAGTCTCCGACCACTACTTTGTATCCTTTTCTCTCTGGCTCTCCTCCAACACTACTCACTCTGCCCCTACTCAGATGGTAATGCGCCGTCGCAACCTTCGCTCTCTCTCTCCCGCTACTCTCTCCTCTTCCATCCTATCATCTCTTCCCTCTGCTCAAACCTTCTCCCTCCAATCTCCTGATTCTGCCTCCTCAACCCTCCTCTCCTCCCTTTCTGCATCCTTTGACTCTCTATGTCCCCTATCCTCCCGGCCGGCTCGGTCCTCCCCTCCTGCTCTGTGGCTTGACGAGTCATTGCGATTTCACAGAACAGGGTTCCGGGCTGCCGAGCGGAAATTGAGGAAAACTAGACTCCCTGCGGACCTGGCATCTTTTCACTCCCTCCTCTCTACATTTTCTTCCTCTGTTTCTGCTGCTAAAGCCACTTTCTACCACTCTAAATTCCAAGCATCTGCCTCTAACCCTAGGAAGCTCTTTGCCACCTTCTCCTCCCTGCTGAATCCTCCTCCCCCTCACCCCCCTCCTCCCTCTCTGTGGATGACTACGTCAACCATTTTGAAAAGAAGGTTGACGACATCCGATCATCGTTTGTTAAGTCAAATGACACTGCTGGTCCTGCTCACACTGCCCTACCCTATGCTTTGACTTCTTTCTCCCCTCTCTCTCCAGATGAAATCTTGCGACTTGTGACGGCCGGCCGCCCAACAACCTGCCCGCTTGACCCTATCCCCTCCTCTCTTCTCCAGACCATCTCCGGTGACCTTCTCCCTTACCTCACCTCGCTCATCAACTCATCCTTGACCGCTGGCTATGTCCCTTCCGTCTTCAAGAGAGCGAGAGTTGCACCCCTTCTCAAAAAACCAACACTCGATCCCTCTGATGTCAACAACTACAGACCAGTATCCCTTCTTTCTTTTCTCTCCAAAACTCTTGAGCATGCCGTCTTTAGCCAACTCTCTTGCTATCTCTCTCAGAATGACCTTCTTGATCCAAACCAGTCAGGTTTCAAGACTGGTCATTCAACTGAGACTGCTTTTCTCTGTGTCACGGAGGCTCTCCGCACTGCTAAAGCTAACTCTCTCTCCTCTGCTCTTGTCTTTCTAGACCTGTCTGCTGCCTTTGATACTGTGAACCATCAGATCCTCCTCTCCACCCTCTCCGAGTTGGGCATCTCCGGCGCGGCTCACTCTTGGATTGCGTCCTAACTGACCGGTCGCTCCTACCAAGTAGCGTGGCGAGAATCTGTCTCCGCACCACGTGCTCTCACCACTGGTGTCCCCCAGGGCTCAGTTCTAGGCCCTCTCCTATTCTCGCTATACACCAAGTCACTTGGCTCTGTCATATCCTCACATGGCCTCTCCTATCATTGCTACGCAGACGACACACAACTAATCTTCTCCTTTCCCCCTTCTGATAACCAGGTGGCGAATCGCATCTCTGCATGTCTGGCAGACATATCAGTGTGGGTGATGGATCACCACCTCATGCTGAACCTCGGCAAGACGGAGCTGCCCGTTCCATGATCTCGCCATCACGGTTGACAACTCCGTTGTGTCCTCCTCCCAGAGTGCGAAGAGCCTTGGTGTGACCCTGGACAACACCCTGTCGTTCTCCTTTAACATCAAGGCGGTGACCCGATCCTGTAGGTTCATGCTCTACAACATTCGGAGAGTACGACCCTGCCTTACACAGGAAGCGGCACAGGTCCTAATCCAGGCACTTGTCATCTCTCGTCTGGATTACTGCAACTCGCTGTTGGCTGGGCTCCCTGCCTGTGCCATTAAACCCCTACAACTCATCCAGAATGCCGCAGCCCGTCTGGTGTTCAACCTTCCCAAGTTCTCTCACGTCACCCCGCTCCAACGCACACTCCACTGGCTTCCAGTTGAAGCTAGCATCTGCTACAAGACCATGGTGCTTGCCTACGGAGCTGTGAGGGGAACGGCACCTCCGTACCTTCAGGCTCTGATCAGTCCCTACACCCAAACGAGGGCATTGCATTCATCCACCTCTGGCCTGCTGGCTCCCCTACCTCTGTGGAAGCACAGTTCCCGCTCAGCCCAGTTAAAACTGTTCGCTGCTCTGGCACCCCAATGGTGGAACAAGCTCCCTCACGACGCCAGGACAGCGGAGTCACTCACCACCTTCTGGAGACACTTGAAACCCCACCTCTTTAAGGAATACCTGGGATTGGATAAAGTAATCCTTCTACCCCCCCTTACCCCACCCCAAAGAAAGAAAAAAAATAAACATATTGTAAAGTGGTTATCCCACTGGCTATAAGGTGAATGCATCAATTTGTAAGTCGCTCTGGATAAGAGTGTCTGCTAAATGACGTAAATGTAAATGTTATCCAGAGCGACTTACAGGAGCAGTTAGGTTTAAGTGCCTTGCTCGGTTACTGGCCCAACCTGCCACCCTACATGAACCTAGATATGTTCTGCTTTCTCAGGATACAGATGCTGCATACATGGCCAAGATGGAGCTGGAGGCCAAGCTGGACTGTCTCACTAATGAGATTGAGTTCCTCAGGAGTATCTATGATATGGTAATGTACCATGTCCATACTGCAATGGGAGAGACTGACAGAAAATATTTGAAGGACTAGCCTATGCTGTAGATTCCATTGGATTTGGAATCAATTGTGTGAAGAGTAGATGCCGGTTGAAATCTAAAGGTTTCTTTTCATCCTCTCTTGGTTCTTCAGGAGCTGCGTGAGCTGCAGTGCCAGATCAAGGACACCTCTGTGGTGGTGGAGATGGACAACAGCCGTAACCTGGACATGGACTCCATTGTCGCTGAAGTGCGCGCCCAGTATGAGGACATCGCCAACCGCAGCAGAGCTGAGGTCGAGACATGGTACACACAGAAAGTAAGCCCTTTCCCCTGTGAGGCCCCCGAAACCCCTCACACCTCCGTAACCTTTTCGAGATTCAATATTGGCTGTGCTCCAATGTCCATACTTGCATATCACTGAGAATGGATGTCCTAAAGAGGATGCTGGTGGGAGGAGTTGTAGGAGGATGGGCTCATTGTAAAGACTGGAATGGAATAAATAGAAAGGTATCAAACACATCAAACATATGGAAACCACATATTTGACTCCGTTCCATTTATTCCATTCCAGCATTGCAATGAGCCCGTCCTCCAATAGCTCCTCCTGCCAGCATCCTCTGATGTCCAATGCCTAAGTGGTATGCTAATGTAGATACTAGAACAGAACCAGAACCAGAGCACTCTGCTTTGAGGCAACCATTATAACCATAAAATCTTAAGTTCTATAGTTTGGGTGACAGTTACCTCAGGGAGGATCTCTGAGGGAGGATAATGTCACTGTGTGAGATTATGATTCGCTAACCTCCACCTCATCATTGTAACTATACATTGGGAAACCCTCGCGATTACCAAAGCAACGGTGTAAACAAAGGATATTTCTACCGTTTCAGGTATCCACTCTGCTAGCTACATGGACTTCACTGTTATGTTATGTCTCTATGTTTCTGTAACAGTATGAACAGATGCAGGTGTCAGCCAGCAAGTATGGGGACGACCTGAAAAACACCAAGGCAGAGATCGCAGATATGAACCGCAAAATCATAAGATATCAGTCTGAAATTGACATGATGAAGGGTCAGGTGAGTGTCTCATACTGTATGTATCTCAGTCAATATGTAACAGAAGTGCCATGTTATCGAACACCCCTAGTGTGGATAGACTCTCTGCTATTCAGTGGTAGGTTCAACAACATTTACAAATAGGAACACAACTAAAAATAAAAAAATTCTGACAACAGCGCACCCACCTGGAGAACCAGATTGCTAAGGCAGAGGCGTGCGGTGAGCTGGCGGTGAAGGATGCCAAGCTTCGCATCAACGATCTCGATGTGGCCCTGCAGAGAGCCAAGCAGGACATGACCATGCAAGTCCGCCAGTACCAGGAGCTGATGAACGTCAAGCTGGCCCTGGACATTGAGATCGCCACCTACAGGAAGCTGCTGGAGGGAGAGGAGAGCAGGTAGGAGACGTGGGCCCTGCCCAAATGAAGTGGCTGCCTTCACTCTTTCCCTCAGATCTGATCTGAGTTAGGCTTTCATTTAATGTTCTTTTAGATTAGTGAGTAGTCACGGGAAGTAAGGAGGAAAGCATTCACACATGAGAGCATTAAAACAGTGTGTTGATGACCAATGAGTTAATTTGCTCACTGATCATATCCCTTCCACAGAAATGAATGAATAGAATGGGCATCCCCATTCAAGTCAATGATGTCAATGATGGCATAATGGGTGGACTGGCAGCTATTTTGAGTGTACCCAGGCCAGGAAGTAAAAGCAAGAAGTTTACCCTTCAATATGTGCTGTGATTTGTTGAGTCAACTCAACTGACATTGCAAAAAATACACAGTAGTGGTGCGTGGGTAAAATCACTGGGGAATCCAAGCCAGGAAAAAAAGCTATATTAAAACCTATGTGTTGTAATAATTGCGTTGTTTGCTCTATAACCTGTTAGTTCATATGCCTTGTGACCGTGATATTTGACAGTAACAGTCAAAAGTTTCAGGGGTTTTTCTTTATCTTTACTATTTTCTACACTGTAGAATAATAGTGAAGACATGAAAACTATGAAATAACACATATGGAATCATGTAGTAACCAAAAAAGTGTAAAAAACAAATCAAAATATATTTTATATTTGAGATTCTTCAAATAGCCACCCTTTGCCTTGATGACAGCTTTGCACACTCTTGGCATTCTCTCAACCAGCTTCACCTGGAATGCTTTTCCAACAGCCTTGAAGGAGTTCCCACATATGCTGAGCACTTGTTGCTTTTCCTTCACTCTGCCGTCCGACTAATCCCAAACCATCTCAATTGGGTTGAGGTCGGGGAATTGTGGAGGCCAGGTCATCTGATGCAGGACTCCATCACTCTCCTTCTTGGTAAAATAGCCCTTACACAGCCTGGAGGTGTGTTGGGTCATTGTCCTGTTGAACAACAAATGATAGTCCCACTAAGCCCAAACCCAATGGGATGGCGTATCGCTGCAGAATGCTGTGGTAGCCATGCTGGTTAAGTGTTCCTTGCATTCTAAATAAATCACAGAGCGTGTCACCAGCAAAGCACCCCCACACCATAACACCTCCTGCTCCATGCTTTACGTTGGGAACTACACATGCAGAGATAATCCGTTCACCCACACCGCGTCTCACAAAGACACGGCGGTTGGAACCAAAAATCTCAAAAAATAATTATGTCAATGATGTTTGGCTTTGAAGCCAAATCCAAACTGGCTTCCCTTTACAAAAATTTTTGTGCGCCAGGACCATTCAAAGCTGAGCTCACTCAGTTTAGCTCAATGCTGATTGGCTATTATTTAATTAAAAAAATATATCAAGGGAGGCCAAATGCTCGCTGGCTTCTCTTACATTCAATCAAAGAGTGATTCAATGCTACGGGCGGCAACAATGTCATACTCGTTTTGACCAGACAGCATCAGATAGATGGGCTACACATACAGAGACAGAGGGGCGCTGTTTCGTTCGCTCGGATGCTTTCACCGGTGAGATACATTAAGGCTCTTGTTAATTGAAGGACATTTATGAAACACAGACAGACAAAATGTTTGTATGTTTTGTTCTTTTTTTCTTGATACATTTTTTGGGGAAGCTTGGCTGCCCTTCACATCCACAAATACACGCCACTGAAAATACATTTAATTGCGTGAGCCACATCAGTTAGCATCATTTAATGAGAAATTCTTCACTACCTAATTATACATCTAGCTTAGGTGATTTTTGGTGGTAGCATTAGCTAGCTGGTGTCTGCTTGCTGGCTGAACCAGTCTCAAATGAATCCATATGAAACGAAAGGCAGGGATGCTAACAATGCCAGTTCACACAAGCTAGCAAACTATCTACCGTAAACAAGTTTGCACTAGGCTGCTAGCTGGAGCATGGTTTGCCGCAGTAGCCAGTGCGTCATAGCTACCGAGAGCGGAGGGATTTTTAGAGATGAGTTCCACGTCCTACATAAAAGATCGGTTGAGGGACGAGCATCACGTAGGAGTGACGAGATCTGACGTAAGACAACGTAGTGTACCCAGGAGTCTACCAGTCAAATTGCCAGGGTTAGAGCTTCCAAGCCCGTTCTATTCATTCTATTTCTATGATCCCTTCTCTCTTCTCTCTCCTCTTTACCCAGGCTGGTGACTGGAATCAAGTCGGTCAACATTTCCAAACAGTCTTCTTGTAAGTGAATGCCCTCGCACTCCACAGCTATTCTGTTTCACTTAATGCTTAGTACTTATTGTACATCGTACTTGTCAAATATCTGAGATAAATAAATAACACAAATCCATGTTCACTTCAATGACCCGACATGTTCATTTCCACTTCCAGCAATGAACTACAACTCCTACCCCCTGGAGAGCAGTCGTCCCTACTAGCTGCCTCAGGGGCTCAATGGGCGGATACAAGAGCAGCAGCACTTACATCAGTGGCCATGAGAACAGACATGTAGGCCGCAGCTTTGACCTGCCTGGCAGCATCATCCTGGGAGCTACCAGCAGAGATGTGGATGCCAGCATCAGCCTGGGAGGCAGCAAAGGCACCAGCAGAGATGTGGATTCCAGCATCACCCTGGGAGGCAGCAAAAGCACCAGCAGAGACATGGATTCCACCGTCACCCGGGGAGACGAATGAGGAGACTTCGTCATCACAGGCGATGGTGCAATTTGTTTACTCTATCTGTCGCAGATTTATGCTTCCCCAACCTACCTTTCAGACTTCCACTCACATTCATTTCCCTTTTCTAGCGCCAGGTTACTACTTAATTTACCTGCCGAACAGTGACACCTGGAATCACAGGCAGTCTAACTGTAACTTCATTTTCCTACCCACAAACGGTCTGGTTTAAAGTGGTAAATGTGAAGGGTTATGTATTCCTGAAAGGCCCCTGAAAGTCAACCCCTAGTGTCCATTCGGCCTACTTGTTTTCTTGCTGACAATGTGTAGTCTTGTTCACTGTCGATGGATGCTTTCCATCTCATTTGACTGTCCACACCGGAGTCACCAGTAGGTGTCATTGTGGCACATGTTTTTCTCTCTGCTTGCTCTGAGACCAATTAAAGCACTTGGAGAACCAACAACCTCTTAATGTGTATGTGCTGTGTGACATATTTCTTCCATTGGGTGTCCATACGAGTCATTTGATGAGGGGATGCTGTTATCCTAATGCCAAACCCCACCAAAAGGGAAATGTATGAAATGTGTCAATGCAGGGCCGGCTCCAGGCATAAGCGACATAAGCGGTTGCTTAGGGGCCCCTTAAAAGGAACCCCATAAAAGGAACTCACTATTGAGAGTAAGAATAGTAGAATACACCAGGTGCAATTTCAAAATTTGGTTGTGCATCAGCAGTTTTTCTCTTGTTATGTCAGTCCCTCAATTAGCTGACAATTAGCCATGTCAATGTTTGGATTGGTAGTTAGTCTAGCCAGCTATATAAACTTGTAGTAATCATGGCCGAATACCGACCGGGCACGCAGTATTAGTCATTCTCACTCAGATATCATATTAGCATGGCATAAGTAATGGCAAAATGTGTAGAATTGTTAGAAATGAGCGCTAAAACTGAAAAATGTATCTCTCTGCCCCTTGGCAAAATCAGTAGAACTGCAATACATGTGTTATAAAATTGCTAAATGTTCTCTCCGCCCCATGGCAAAATATGTATAATTGCAGTAAATGAACATTAAAACGTAGATTTTCTCTCTGCCGTTAAGAGGGGGGCCACTAAAATGTTTTGCCACAAGGTAGGGGCCCCCCAACCAAATCTTGCTTACGTCCCCAAAAGGCTAGAGCCAGCCCTGTGTCCAAGTCATTCCTCATGACCTCAACTGTGCGATCGGCTTTGGTTAGGTGAGACACTAAACATTCATTTATGCTGAAGGTTAAGTAAACAGGGTTAAGTAAAACATGTGAAGAGTCACTGGAAGAATTTCACAGGACAGTACAGTACAACACAATACAACACAAACAGTACAATAAAATATACTGAACAAAAATATAAACACAACATGCAACAATTTCAGAGATTTTACTGAGTTACAGTTCATATAAGGAAATCAGTCAATTGAAATCAATTCATTAGGCCCTAATCTATGGATTTCACATGACTGGGAATACAGATATGCATCTGTTGGTCAGAGATACACTACATGTCCAAAAGTATGTGGACACCTGCTCGTCGAACATCTCATTCCAAAATCATGGGCATTAATATGGAGTTGGTCCCCCCTTTGCTGCTATAACAGCATCCACTCTTCTGGGAAGGCTTTCCACTAGATGTTGGAACATTGCTGCGGGGACTTGCTTCCATTCAGCCACAAAAGCATTAGTGAGGTTGGGCACTGATGTTGGGCGATTAGGCCTGACTCGCAGTCTGCGTTCTAATTCATTCCAAAGGTGTTCGATGGGGTTGAGGTCAGGGCTCTGTGCAGGCCAGTTAAGTTCTTCCACACCGATCTTGACAAACCATTTCTATATGGACCTCACTTTGTGAATGGGGGCATTGTCATGCTGAAACAGGACCTTCCCCAAACTGTTGCCACAACATTAGAAGCACAGAATCGCCTAGAATGTCATTGCATGCTGCAGCGTTAAGATTTCCCTTCACTGGATCTATGGGGCCTAGCCCGAACCATGAAAAACAGCTGCAGACCATTATTACTCCTCCACCAAACTTTACAGTTGGCACTAAGCATTGGGGCAGGTGGCATTCTCCTGGCAACCGCCAAACCCAGATTCGTCCATCGGACTGCCAGATGGTGAAGCGTGATTCATCACTCCAGAGAACGTGTTTCCACTGCTCCAGAGTCTAATGGCAGCGAGCTTTACAACACTCCAGCCGACGCTTGGCATCACGCATGGTGATCTTAGGCTTGTGTGCGGCTGCTCAGCCATGGAAACCCATTTCATTAAGCTCCCGACAAACAATTGTTGTGCTGATGTTGCTTCCAGAGGCAGTTTGGAACTAAGTAGTGAGTGTTACAAACAAGGACAGCGCGTCAGCACTCGGCGGTCCCGTTATGTGAGCTTGTGTGGGCTACCACTTCGCAGCTGAGCCGTAATTGTTGCTCCTAGAAGTTTCCACTTCACAATAACAGCACTTACAGTTGACCGGGGAAACTCTAGCATGGCAGAAATTAGGACGAACTGACTGGTTGGAATGGTGGCATCTTATGACAGTGCCATGTTGAAAGTCACAGAGCTCTTCAGTAAGGCCATTCTACTGCAAATGTTTGTCTATTGAGATTGCATGGCTGTGTGCTCGAATTTACACACCTGTCAGCAACGGGTGTGGCTCAAATAGCCAAATCCACTAATTTGAAGGGGTGTCCACATACTTTTCTATATATAGTGTTCCTTTGAAAAAAGGTAGGAGCGTGGATTAAAAAAACAGTCAGTATCTGGTGTGACCACCATTTTCCTCATGCAGATCTCCTTCGCATAGAGTTGATCAGGCTGTTGATTGTGGCCTGTGGAATGTTGTCCCACTCCTCTTCAATGGCTGTGTGAAGTTGCTGAACATTGTCGGGAACTGGAACAAGCTGTCGTACTCGTCGATCCAGAGCATCCCAAACATGCTCAATACGTGACATGTCTGTTGAGTATGCAGGCCATGGAAGAACTGGGACATTTTCAGCTTCCAGGAATTGTGTCCAGATCCTTGCTACATAGGACATTGTATTATCACGCTGAAATGAGGTGAAGGTGGCGGATGAATGACACAACAATAGGCCTCAGGATCTCATCACGGTATCTCTGTGCATTCAAATTGCCATCGATAAAATGCAATTGTGTTCATTGTCCGTAGCCTCTGGCTGCCCATACCATAACCCCACTGCCAACCACGGGACACTCTGTTCACAACGTTGACATCAGCAAATGACGTCATACACACTGGCTACCATCTGACCGGTACAGCTGAAACCGGGATTCATCCGTGAAGAGCACACTTCTCCAGTTTGGAGGTGGTCATTGAAGGTGAGCATTTGCCCACTGAAGTCGGTTTCAACGCCAAACTGCAGTCAGGTCAAGACCCTGGTGAGGATGACTAGCATGCAGATGAGCTTCCCTGAGACAGTTTCTGACAGCTTGAGCAGAAATTCTTCAGTTGTGCAAACCCACAGTTTCATCAGCTGTCCGGATGGTTCGTCTCAGACCATCCCGCAAGTGAAGACGCAGGATGTGGAGGTCCTGGGCTGGCGTGGTTACACGTGGTTGTGAGGCCAGTTGGATGTACTGCCAAATTCTCTAAAATGACGTTGGAGGGGGCTTATGGTAGAGAAATGAACATTCAATTCTCTGGCAACAGTTCTTGTGGACATTTCTGCAGTCAGCATGCTAATTGCACGCTCCCTCAAAACTTGAGACATCTGTGGCATTATGTTGTGTGACAAAACAGCACATTTTAGAGTGGCCTTTTATTGTCCCCAGCCCAAGGTGCACCTGTGTAATGATCATGCTGTTTAATCAGCTTCTTGATATGCCACACCTGTCAGGTGGATGGATTATCTTGGCAAAGGAGAAATGCTCACTAACAGGGATGTAAACAAATTTGTGTGCAACATTTTAGAGAAATAAGCTTTTTGTGAGTATGGAACATTTCTGGGATCCTTTATTTCAGCTCATGAAACATGGGAAAAACACTTTACATGTTGCGTTTCTATTTTTGTTCAGTATACAATGCAGGAACTTGTCAACAAAACTCTGCCCTCTTTGTCCTTCTTCCAAAAAACAGTGACTTACTTGACCTTTAGCTCAAAGTCAAAGTGGAAGTTTGTTTGTAGAACATTTTAGAATTTCATAGAAAATGAAAAGCTGAAATGTCTTCAGTCAATAAGTATTCAACCCCTTTGTTATGTTAAGCCTAAATAAGTTCAGGAAGTAAAAATGTGCTTAAGAAGTCACATAATAAGTTGCATGGACTCACTCTGTGTTCAATAATAGTGTTTAACATTTTTTTATATATTTTTTTTATGACTACCCCATCTCTGTAGCCCACATATACAATTATCCATAAGGTCCCTCAACCATTATCTGTAAGGTCCCTCAATCGAATAGTGAATTTCAAGCACAGATTCAACCACAAAGACCAGGTAGGTTTATCAATGCCTCACAAAGAAGGGTCAATGCGTAAAAATGTAAAAAAGCATACCCTGAATATCCCTTTGAGTTTTGGATTGAAAATCTATGGCAAGACTTCAAAATGGCTTTCCAGCAATGATCAACAACCAACTTGACAGAGCTCGAATAATTATTTTAATATAATGGGCAAATATTGATTAAGATGGCACCATACTTGATGGCTGTCGTTTTGTGTAGATCAATGACAATTAAATCAATTTTAATCCCACTTTGTAACACAAAAAAACACAACAAATGTGGAAAAAGTCATGGGGTGTGAATACTTTCTGAAGGCATAAGAATATATAATAATAAGAGTAAGAAGAATGTATCCATGCGGATACTTAGAGTGTGCACAATGCTTTGCAGGGTTTTTCTAAAAAGAATTTATACAAGGATCCAACTTTAAGACTCAGTCAATAATATATTGTCCTGTTCTTCCCTTTAGAATTTCAACGTATGTTACAATGAGAATAAAGCCTACACACACTTGATTGGGTGATTGCTTAGCA